AGGAATTTTTTGGAAGTCAAGACTTTATATATATATATATTGAAGATGGATATATAAAGCTATGGTTAAATTTTGATATAAAGATGAGTATTTGAGAGGAGATTATGGATTTTCTTTGAAATTATTGAAAATCTAACTTACCAGCAAATGGTTAATTATGATTTGGTATAACTCTGAATGTTAGGAAATTTTTAGATATCTTAGAAAGTCTTATGTATAAACCTTCTTATATATAAAATATTTTACTAGTGTGATATCTTTTTGATATTGTAGTAATTATTTGTCTTCTACTTTAAAGGTTAAATAACTTATTGGAGCATGGCTGACAAGTTAAAATTAAACTCTCTACAGTTAGGTACCTAGAGTATTTCCAGATAGAAAAATCATGTAGTACAACATCATTTCTTTTCTTGAGCCATATAAGATAGTGAATATCTCGAGAAGAAGACAAATGCCACTTCTTCCTATAAAAGTGGATAATAATAAAGAATTTGAAGTAGAAGAAGTCTTAGATTCAAGGCATCACCGAAATAGATTAAAATATATTTTTTATTGGTATAGATATGGTATTAGTGAACACACATGGAAGCTAATAAAGAATCTTATAAATGCAACAAATAAAGTTGAAGCTTTTCATCGATAACAGTTATCAAAACTAAGATGAAGAATAGTAAATCTTTACTATAAAAGAAATAAGATCCAAAAAATGTAGCATTCTACCTTCTACCCTTTTTTGTAGCTTTTGTATAATTATAATATTAAAGAGATGGAGAACCAATAACTAGTAGATTCAACTCAAGAACTTTTATTTGGGGACTTACTAGATGAAACATTGTAATTGTCACAACCTTCAAGATGATGAAATCAAGTTTGAAATCCTCAAGAACCACATGTCTTTAATTGAATAGATGGCAAGATACAACATATTTGATATCACGACCAAGGAGGAGTCATTTGATGTTTGGTGATTTTATTAAAGGTAGAAATGACTCTTGACAGTGTTTCAAATATTTTATTTGAAGGAAGTTACAAAGACCTCAACAACGATGAAATAATAGGATAGTTTGTTCGCCTTGATATTTGATATTATTGATGGTTGAGAGGATCTATCAACTATCTTTGAAGGAACAAAGATCAAAGTATGTAGCAAATATAATTTGCCGCATCTTAGATTTCCTGAACATATGAAGACTATTCTTCATGGAATTCATTCCTAAAAAGGGAGATAATATTATGCATATATATAGATACTCTAGTAATTATCTATATGATTAAGTAGAAGTAAGTAAATTTCATAATACCTTATAGATAAGCTTCCTAGAAGCTTTATAGACACTATTTTGAATTAACATATATTTGTAGTTGATTGATAGGCTAAAAACTTAATTAATAAGTTAATCACATGTTGATAACTTGTAGAATAAGCTAACTATGTGGTACATATATAGAAAACTTGCCTTGCAAATTAAGATATGTGTCTTACAATATCAACATGTATTGGAGGTCTTATATGACATTGTTAAGTAGTCTTAATTAAGAGTATATATAGAGGCAAGAGTGAAGCCTGCTTCATTCTTGTCAATGCCTTTTTAGTCCTTAGTCTTGCTTCAAGACTTTTTAGTCTTCTTGTTTTTGGCAATAGCCATTCTAGTTTAATATTATATCATCTTTGAGTGACTTTCTAGTTCTTTTAAGTGACACAAGAGCATATTGAGGATTTTCTTTCTTCAAGATTCATATCCTTGACATCTACATTTTTTCTTTTTATATAGTTTCTATACATTTGTAGCGTTAATGAGATAAAGAATCAATAGCCAATGTAGTCAATTGAAAAACTATCATTCATTGACTTATTGAATGAAACATTACAATTATCATAACCTTCAAGACAACATAATAGACATGAAGATCTTTAAGAATGATATGTTCTTCCTTCAATAGATGGCAAGATATAACACATTTGATATCATGACTTGAGTATAGACTTTCAATATTTGATGATTTTATTGGAGGTAAGTACGATTCTTGATTGAGTTAAAAATATTTTGTTTGAAAGTAGTTACAAAGCGTTTAACAATGATCAAATCATAGGATGGGCTTCCTATCCTGAAATGGAACATTATCAATGGTTGAGTGGACCTATCAACTATCCTCAAAGGAAGCAAAGATCAAAATACATAGCAAATATAATTTTTCCTATCTTTGACTTTCTCAATATATGATCACTCCTCCTTATAGAACTTGTTTCTAAATGAGGGAGTAATGTCATGGATATATATCTATATATATATATATATATATATATATATATATATATATATATAATTATTAACTAAATAATATGAATAGGTAGAAGTTGGTAAAATTAGAATAATTTCGTAATATCTTTTAGAGAAGTTTCTTAAAATCTACATAGATGTTGTTTGACTTTACATGTGTTTGTAGTTGATTAGTAGGTTAGAGACTTGATTAACAAGCTAATCATGTGCTACATGTGTTAGTAGCTTATAGAACAAGTTAATCACGTGCTACATATTTTAATAGCTTGTAGAACAAGCTAATTATGTGGTGCCCATATAGAAAACTTGCCTTGCAAGTTAAGATATATGTCATGCAAAGTCAACACATTTTTGGAGGTCCTATAGAATGTCAACGCATAGATCTTAAGTAGATAGTATATATAGAAGCAAGAGTGAAGTTTTTTTCATTCTTATGAACTCCTTTGTTGGTTCTAGTCTAGTTTCAAGAGTCTTTGGTTTCCTTGTCTTTTGGCAATAGCCATTTTAGTTTTCTTTTTAATATATATACTTCTATATTTTTATTTTGTCATATTTCTTTGAAAGAGTCTTACTTGTTTATTTGCTTTCATCAAGTTCTTATCCTTAACACTTAAGAAGAGACATGTGAAATACAAAATGAATCTTCGTACACTCTAGAAGATATAATTAAGTTTTTTAAAGTACATATATATATATATATATATATATTAAAAGATTGACTTATATTATTTAGATAATTTATATTTGACTTACAATTTCATAAATTCACATGTAAATAGATTTTAAGATTTTAGCTTATACAATATTTTGAATTCTTTTTATTGAAATTTCTTATAAGTACTTAAAATCCTTCCATTCTAACAACTATTAAGTAATATAAAAAAATCAATTTTAAGTATATATATATATATATATATATGACATCAAAGATTTGTAACTGAAAATATAATATAAAGTCAATATCTATACATAAATAGAAGTAAGTAGAAATATATCAAGTGGATAAAATATTTCTTAATAAATATTTTAAAAACTTCTTAAATGCAAATTAGATTTATAAGTGTGATGTCTAACAAGAGTAACTTCTCTAAGAAGTTTGTTTTACTTTGAAGAAGCCACAATAGCAACAACTTGTAACTTATATACTTAGCTTATAAGCCTTGTGGTCTTTAAAAAAAGCTTCTATTTAGATTTCTTAATAAATAATACAAACAAGGATAAAAATTGTTGAAATATTTAATATTATGAGTAATTTTCTTGTATTACAATCTTAATTTAAGATTTTTTGATTTAATTATTTTTAATAATGAATATTAACATATATACATTATTTAATACATGAATTTATATATATGTTTTTTTTAGATTTATGTCTCCAATATATGAAAAATATACAAATTCCTACAAATACTAAATTATATTACCACCTTTGCTTCATGTATATTCTAAAAACAATGTTTTGAAGGTTCTTAAGTTATCTAGAAGCACAAAAAATAAAGAATTGAGTGATATCTAATTTCAACAAATTAATCACAAATCCATGCAATTGTTTTTTATTTTAAAACACTTGAGATTTTATTTTTATAAATAAATAAATAAATATATATATATATATATATATATTATTTTTATGACACATAAGCCTAAAAATTTAACATATTATATTTAATACGAATATTGGTTTAAAAGTATGATATATATAAATATACTATAAAATAAAACTTGAATAAAATTTAAATCAAACAACAAGTTTATTTTGATCTGTTTTAATATACCTACATATTGTAGTGGAAGACCATGTCAAAATTTAGTAAAACATCCTTATATGAGTGGGTCATTTTTAAGAAGATGGAACAACTAATGAGTGGTCTATAAAGAATTCGGATCCAAAATAGGGCTGAGCATTAGACGACCCATCAAAACTCCTTATATTGACCTCATACAGGGACACCATTTGAAGATCAACAGTAGTTAGGTTACGTGGATTAGGTTGTTACAACACACTCTGCTGTGTAGTCCGCCTTGAGTAGAGAATGTTTATTTGATCTAAAGTAACAAAAAAAAACAAAAAAAACAAAAAATAAAATGACTGCGAACAAGGTGTCAGCCACCGTCCACGAGGCATCCATAGCTGTGAATAAAATCGTGCCACGCAACACCCTCCTGCCCACGTGGCCGATAGAGAGCGAGGGACCCGCCAAAATCCAACTTAAGTGCCCCTTAGGCCGCACAAGGACAGCTCAGAACCACTCATTGAGTGCCAGGTTGGCCAAACGGATTCGCAATCCGAGGTGGCAGAGTTCTCACACCTGCCCATAACCGAACCTCTTCTGCTTCAGACACGTCTCCACCGCTCGCAGTGTGAATGCAACATCTCCCCCACTTTAGATGCACTGCTGGCATCGACCAAGACGTGGGGAGGCACTTCCTGCCAAATGGGAGTGACCACTCGACAAATTATTCCTCGCCGGTTTCCACTCCCGGTTTCCAAGTGCCTTCGCGGCCACACTCGCATTTTATCCAAAAAAATTGCAACCAAATCAACGGGGAAAAACACCGAAGTTGCCAATTTTAGGGCATTCCTTTTTGCTGACGCAGACTTGAATGTTTCGAGTCAGAGAATGGCGGATTTGGGTGTTTGTGGGGGAAAAAGAATGTCAGGAATGGCGACGAGGAGCGTTGGATCAAGATCGGAGCATGGTACGTAGAGAGTGGTAAAGCTAGAAAAGAGGGGAGAGGGGTGGGTTGGCTTTATAGCGGTGCGCCTGAATAGGTCGAAGGTTGGATCGTCGCTGGTTGCCTCGTATTGCCGTTGCCTATTGCCGAGTGCTTCTCGCGACGACTGACATCCATCTGCGAGTTTTCGGACACCGTGATTCCATACATCATCTGCTCAGACCATGCTGTGGTGCTTTTTGGGGGTGGGTGCATTAGATATGCAGTGACACACGTCTAGGTTTGCGGAACGGTTTCCACGGGCCTCGTTGGTGGAATTCGGTGTTGCAGAGACGACATGCGAAGGGCCGCTTTGTTGTCGTTGTTGTTGTTGTTGTTGTTGTTGCGTTGTTCCGGATCAGTCGAGAGCGTCGGTGGAGGACCGCAGGGAGAGCCTGACTGAGATCGGGTGTGAGTGGGTGAGTGGCGTTGCGAGGGTGGCAATTTGGCAGGTGCTGTTGGGTTTTGTGCGGATTTCTGTGCAGGGTTTAGTTTGGGGGTTTGTTAGATGTAGTGTGCTGTGGCGTTGCTATTGAGCATTTTTCAGGTGTTTGGCTGTTAAGTAGAAGAAGTAATATCTTGACAGTAGATTTCGTGACATGTTTTTGTGATAGTGCCAAGACTATTCGTGTTCTTGTTACCCTGCTTCGTGTTTTTTCTTTGTCCTCTTAGTTACTTTTGAAATAAAAAATCCCTCCCTCTCCCTCCTCGCAGTGTGTTGTTCTTTCCGGAATTCTACGTAATGTTTGGTTCATTTTTTTTTCTTCTCTCTTTCTGCAGGTTGGTTAGATCACAAGTCGAAAACGAGATCACATTCACGAGGAAGGCGGGATGGTGCTCGTTGATACAGTTTCACAGAGTTCTTTCCACACCACGACGAAGCCATGTACTGTAGAGAGTTGGCTGACTGGGACAGAGCCTGCGGAAAACGATACGGCCGATGCATCGTTGGTGAAACAAACGTCAATTGAGTTACCCGTCGAAGCCTACAAAGAGCTTCACAAGTTGGCTGGAAAATGGATGGACATCTTGGATCCCAAAGATCTTACGTTGACACGGCTCAAGGGTGCCATGACAAACCATGTTTATCAATGCCATTGGGAAAGAGACAATGGCCACCCACCTCGCAAGGTTCTTGTGCGGGTGTACGGGGAAGGTTCAAGCATGTTTTTTGACAGGAATGACGAGGTAATGACTTTCGAGCGGATGTCGCTGAAAGATCAGGGCCCACATCTGTTAGGCCGGTTTCCCAACGGTCGAGTTGAGGAATTCTTGCGAGCACGGGTTTGTACCATTTCTTTTAATGCCCCTACTTTTCAGAGTTCTGACTTCTTCTGAGGTCCCCCAGTTTGTACTTGAAGTGTGCTTGGAATAAACGAGTCATGTATTTTTTCGGTGATTGTGTTATTTATTCTCTGTGTATTAACGTTACGCTTTGTCCTCTATATGTTAGTCATCTTAAAAGGGTTTTTCTGGGCCTTGTTACTGCAGACACTTACGAAGCAAGACTTACGTGATCCAGAGATTTCGAAAAAAATTGCTGTGAAGCTGCAGGAGTTCCACAAGCTTGATATACCAGGGCCACGGAAAGCAAAGCTGTGGGAACGCCTCAGGTAGTCCTGTCTGTGCTATCTTGCTCACTTTAGCACTATATGTTGTGGAGAGTTTTTTTGCTTGTAGTTATATTTTTATCAGTGTTTTACTTGTTATTCATGTGTTGAATGAGGTTTCTGAAAAACTTTAGTGCTCGTCAGGGATTGGTTGGTGAAGATTTTGGAGCATCCCGACACCAGTGATGAGGATTTTGGGCTGAATAAATTGGATGATGAAATCAATGATCTGCAACGTCGACTGATGAAGCCTGATACTCGAATCGGATTCTGCCACAACGATTTGCAATATGGCAATATCATGGTTTCAGAGAAAGATGACTCCGTCACACTCATAGTACGTGCTTCTTCTCAAAATTACCTTTTAGTCGGTTCAGTGTAATGGTTAAAGAACGTGTTCTGCATTGTTGTCCTGTTCCCATCAGAATTATCTTTGAGAAGGAAAACACCTTTTACTTGATGTTCCAGATGCAAGTCATTTGCTGAGGTGGTCATTTTCTCTACTCAACATCTTATTACTTTTATGATTGGATCCCTAAGCTTCTTTTTTGTTGTATTGGAGCAGGATTACGAGTACGCCAGTTACAACCCCGTAGCATTTGACATTGCTAACCATTTCTGTGAGATGACTGCCGATTACCACTCTGATGAGCCGCATTTGTTAAACCAAGAGAGTTTCCCTGGTGAGCTTATTCATATGATTCTGATCTTGAATCTTCTTTCTTAATCGGACTTAGTTTCTACAAATGGGTACAGAACAGTTTCCTTTTTCCATATTTTATGACCATAACTTTAAAGGGGATTTCTTTGCAGACTATGAAGAGCGGAGCCAATTCTGCCGTGCATATCTAGAAGCTTCAGGTATTTGATATTAAGCATTTTATACAACTCTTATGTGTTATCGGATCCTTAATCATGTTAGTTGTGATTTGTATTCTCTGACGTGCGTAAACTTCCCCAGAGAAAGTTTTATCATTACATTTTTAATAGTGTTGCGCTGCCAACTTTTACGAAGGGAATATTATTGGATGTGGTCTAAAACAGGGGATTCAGTATCTCAGGAAGATGTGCGGAAACTTATTAAGGAAGTGGACGAGTTCGTACTTGCAAGCCACCTGCACTGGGCTCTTTGGGGCTTATTGTCGGTAAGAGTTCATTTTATTTATCACAACGAATCTGCCTCTGTTGTCTTTGGCTACTAGTTGTTGATTCGTTCTGACTTGTGTACTGTTTCATAATGAACCACAATCTTTCTGGGCCAAAGTCCGTAAGATTTGTCAGGTTGTGTCCATGTATTCGCATCATCTCGTCAAAGTTATTATGTTGATTGAAAGGTGTTGGAACTTCATGCCTTGAAATTTGTCACAGGCTGCACATCAAGACGTGGAATTCGACTTCTTGAGATATTCTCAGCAGCGATTTTCAGAATACTTTAAATTGAAACGTGAGTTATTTGGGAGCAGGTAGATCTTACAAACGTGGATATGTCTACTGCAAGATGAAAGTTGTTGATTGAACTCCATATGGTTTGATAGCACTTATGTATAGTAGAATGTTTTAGACCACTCTGGTAGGCTAGTTTAGAAGGAACACATGCATTCTATTGAGTCCTTACATCCAAATGTGCAGATTATTTGACATATCATTTACCTAAAACTTCTTCCATTTCTTGGTACTTGTGTAAAACTGTCTTTTCGTGCTGTATATGTCCGAACCATCATTTCTTGGGGGATATTAAGATGTGGGTTTTAAACCGTGCTCTTTGCTGCTCATTTCGTATTTTTAAGTTCCGAGGACCTTTGCTTGGTCGTTGGTCTTAAAACTGTAAACTCATATCTTTTATCATCTTTTATTGCTTGTATCATATACCAATTTGTACACATAGATGCTATGTTTTCAGCACGCTTAGTTTAGCACCAAATTGTATTTTTATTATCTTCACTTCCATCATTTTTTTATACACGTGATTTGGGATAGATCATCTTTTTAATCGTGAGGGAAATTGTGAACAATTTTAGATGCTCTACATGCATGTTATATTTTATTATATGTAAAACTAATCACAAAGAAGTTTTAAAAATAGGGTATTGCTAACCTCAACATAGCATTTGCTACTTCCACTACTAGTCACCCGATTTATATATTCTTTTAGTTTCAGTTTTTTCTTTTTAATTTTTAATTTTTTTCAAGCAATTTGAGGTTGAATTAGATTAGCAAAATACAATTGATATATTAGGTGTGTGAATCTCGATCCTTGCTTACCACATGCTATGGCTCTTGTTTGCTTGAGTTTTTTGCATGTGCTACAATGTCTTTCAAACGTTCAAAATCTAGAGCATCCACTACTAGTGACATACAACTTGTTGCAAGGATGAATAGAATATCAAATTGAAATAAAAATAAAAACAATTCAACTCTTAGTAGCTATGTTTTTATTATCCAAACCTCAAAACTTACAATATCATTTCAAAGGTTTTTGGATTTGAATCCAACAATAAAAAATGAAAGGAATTTAAGTCTAGTGTACCTTATGTTGTATCTTGTTGAGCAGTATTAACTTGATGTTACAACAGGTGAGAAAACCGTTGTATTTTAGATTTAGTTTTTTTCATGATTTGTAGATCATGGTTACATTGTTGTCAATATATATATATCCAATCAAATGAATCTGATGCGTAGTGTGCAGTTTCAACAAAGTGAATGAACAACATTGTCACTTGTTCCACTACATCATGATTTAACAACACTTTTTACTAGTTCCAAATGTTGTTACATTTTGCATTGTAAGAATGAAGTCTCCAATGCTTAGATTGAAGCTCTCACTTGCTCTTTCTTGCTCTCTTGCTCAATCTCATTAATAATTAGTATAATAATGCATTTTATAAAAGTTTACATGGTTTTTGCCTTGTCTTCTAATTCATCTTCCTATTTGAAAACATATTATTATAGAAGCAAGAAGATTGGAATTCTAATGCTATTCATGGTATAATTTTTAATATTTTTATTTACTTATTTACTTATTTTTATTATTCTTGATGTATCTTGATAATGAAAGGCAATATTTGTCATTGAATCAAAAGATAAGAGCTATTGTTAAAAAAAATCATAATCATGGCGATGTAATTTTGCAAAGAAAAGTCAATTCAGCAAGAAGAAGACTAGATCCAATGGTGACTAATGGTTGCTTGTATGCATTCATCTATTTGATAGAAATAGTTACACCATAGTCTATATAGAATCCATCAATTATTCTGTGCTAGGCAAGTTGTCAAAGATACAAATCTTGAAGAAAGAAAATCCTCAATACACTCTTGTGTCACTAAAAAGAACTAGAAAGTCACTCAAACATGATGTAATATTAAACTAGAATGGCTATTGCCAAAAACAACAAGACTAGAAAGTCTTGAAACAAGATTAAAGATTAAAAAGACATTCAAAAGAATGAAGCAGGCTTCACTCTTGCCTCTATATATACTCTTAATTAGAAGCTACATGATAATATCATATAGGACCTCCAATACATGTAGACATTGCAAGACACATATCTTAACTTGCAAGACAAGTTTTCTATATATACATCACATAGTTAGCTTATTCTGTAAGCTATCAACATGTGATTAATTTATTAATGAAGTTTTTAGCCTATCAATTAACTACAAATACATGTTAATTCAAAGCAATGTCTATAAAGCTTCTGGGAAGCTTATCTATAAGGTATTATGAAATTTACCTACTTCTACCTAATCATATAGGTATTTATTAGAGTATCTATGTATATCCATAATATTACCTCTTCTTTTACGAATGAGCTCCATCAAGAGTAATCTTCATATGTTGAAAAAATCTAAGATACATCAAATTGTATTTGCCACATAATCTAATCTTTGTTCCTTCAAAGATAATTGATAAGTCTTCTCAGCTATTGATAGTATCCTATACCAAAGTAAGAAGACCACCCTCTAATTTGATCAATGTTGAGGCCTTTGTAACTTCCTTTAAATAAAAAATTTAAAACACCATCAAGAGTTATTCCTACCTCTAATAAAATCACCACACATCGAGAGTCTCTTCTAAGGTCGTGATATCAAAGACGTTGTATCTTGCCATCTATTTAAGGAAGAACATGTCATTCTTGAAGATCTCAAGCTTGATTTCATCATCTTAATGGTTGAGACAATTGCAATGTCTCATTTGGTAAGTCTGCAAGTAAAAGTTCTTGAGTTGAATCTATTGGTAGTTGGTTCTGCATCTCTTTAATGTCACAATTATACAAAAGCTACAAAGAAGGGTAGAAGGTAGAATGCTACCTTCTTTGGATCTTATTTCTTTTATAGCAAAGATTTGCTATTCTTCACCTTAGTTTTGACAGATGTCATTGATGAAAAGATTCAACTCTCTTTATTGCATTTACAGGATTCTTTTTTAGCTCCCATGTGTGTTCATTAAAATCATATCCACACTAATGAAAAAAAATATTCTAATCTATTTTGGTGTTGCCTTAAATCTAAGAATTCTTCTACCTCAAACTCTTCATTATTATCCAATTTAATAGGAAGAAGTGGCATTTGTCTTCTTTTCAAGATATTCACAATTTTATATGGCTCAAGAAGAGACACATGAAATATAAGGTGTATCTTCATAGACTCTAGAGGATATAATCGATAAAGAGTAGGATTTATTTGTTCACTAATAAAAAAAGATCAAGCCTATAATAGTTAAACTTAATACAAGAATGAGTAGTCTTGACATTGTCACAAAGTAATTATACCTTATCACCTACATTGAATTATGGTTGTTCTTTGTGATAGGCATTTACATTAATTTTTTGTTTTTCTTAAGCTCCTTCTTATTGCGCCTTTACTATTGCATCTAGCTTTAAAAAATGATTTGTCAAATCTTTTGTCACACAATTATTAACTATTTAAAAGTCAAAAGTATCAAGTTGTGGATGATAACCATAATTGGAAAAAAAAGATGTTTGTTGAGTAGAAGAATGTACTAAATTATTATATGCAAACTTTGCCAATAGTAAAAGAGTTGTCAAATCATCTTAATGATAGTTGATGGTACACCTCAAGTACTCCAAAACTTGATTCATCCATTTTATTTGCCCATCAGTTTGAGAATGAAAAGCTAAAGAGAGCTTTATATCCACCTTCAAAAACTTGAAAAGGATTCTCCAAAATCTTGATATAAATTTAGTACCTTTTATTTGATATAATATCTTTAAGCAATCTGTAATAGTGATAGATGTTGTTAAAAAAAAGCTTAGCTATTTCTTCACATATGATAGATTTTGTACATGATACAAAATATGCCATCTTGGTAAAATGATCCACTACCACAAATATAGAATCATATAAACATGAGATTAGAAGATCTATGATAAAATCTATAGAAATCAAAGACCATGGTTGTTTTAGAATAGGTAATGGTTGAAGAAGTCCATAAGATCAATGGCAAATAGTTTTAAATCTTGAATAAATATCACATGATTGTATAAAGACTTTGAATACTTTTCACATTTGAGGCTACCAAAAATCTCTTGATATTAGCTCCAAAATCTTGTTGTATCTAAAATATTTGGCTATTGGAAAGTCATGACAAGTTTGAAGAATACATAATTGTGTCCCACCTTCTCGAATATATAATTGTCCCTCAAAATAGAGTAGGTTGTTCTTAAACTTGAACTTAGAAGTCTCATGAGACTTAGAAGAATTATTCTTAATATCACAATCAAAAAGATTAGGGACATACTTTACTGAATTTTCTTGATAAAGATTGAATCAATAGTCAATATTGATTTTGTTGCTCAAAGGTGAAAATATTTTAGCTTCAAGAGAATCATTTTTTGTTAATAAAAAGATGTATCTTCTTCTTTTGGTACAAGATAATAAAGTCTAGAAAAGGCATCCGATAAACCTTATTGTTTTTTAGGTCGATAAGTAATTTTGAAATCAAATCTTGATAAGGACATGCTCCAATGAGCTTGGCGACAATCTAAAATAGGTGTTGACATGAAATACTTGAGGTTCTTGTGATCTCTCTATATATATATCTAGTGACTAGACTTGAAGTGTCTTCTAAGTAATGACACCATTTTTGAAATGAATCCATAATTACAAGGAGCTCTTTGTTGTAGATCTCATAATTGATCTTGATTGCTGAAAATATTTTGGAATGACAAACTATTAGATGGATTTTGTCATCTACTCCTATTTGTAATAATATTGCATCCAAGGCTAAGTCTAATGCATGTATTTCTATAAAAAAATCCTTGGAGAAGTCAATATGATATAAAATTTTAATAAAATAAAACTCCTTTTTTAAAGCATCAAATGATGTTTTAGCTTCTTTACTCTACTCAAGTTTGCTTTTATAAGTCAAATGTATAAGTAAAGCTATAATTTGAGAAAAAATCTTGATAAAGATCGGATAGTAATTGCCAAAGTTGAAAAAATATTGTATATTTCTTATTATTCTTAGAGTCTTTCAATCTATGATAGTCTAGACCTTCTTTGGATCCATCATTAGTCCTTCATTGGAAATGATGTATCCTAAGAAGTCAAGTTAAGTAGTGTAGAATATACATTTTTAAAACTTTGCATATAATCTTGTATCTCTAAATTTTTGTAATACATGACAAACATGAACTTCATATTCTTTTGTGTTTTT